TTAACTGACGGTATATGGAGGGAATTATAATCAATGTAATGAAACAAGTTATATGAAGTGTTGAATGTGAAACTGATGATGTGCCCTGTAAACTTTCACTCAATCCACAATAAAAACCTTAAATTAAAAAAAAAAAAGTGTTAAACAGTAAATTTTATGTTTTTTTACCCCAATAAAATCTTATTATTAATTCTGCTCATGAGGAACCTGTATATAGACTAGAGGCAGTCGTTCAAACAGACCAGGGGAATACTGAGTGGTTTAAAATAAAGAAAGGTAGGAGCCAGGGCTATATTCTTTCACTACACTTATTCAATCTGTTTGCTAAACAGATTATTCAAGAACCTGGATCTATGAAGAACAGCAACACTTCAGGATTAGAGGAAGACTCATTAACAACCTACGATATGCAGATGACACAACCTTACTTGCTGAAAGTGAAGAGGACTTAAAATAGTTACTGGTGAAGATCAAAGACCACAGCCTTCAGTATGGATTGAACCTCAAGGTAAAAAAGACAAAAGTCCTCACCACTGAGCCAATAAAGAACATCATGATAAATGGAGAAAAGATTTAACTTGTCAAATACTTCATTTTGCTTGAATCCACAATCAACATTCATGGAAGCAACAGTCAAGAAATCAAATAATGCACTGCATTAGGTAAATCTGGCTGCACAAGACCTTTTAAAAGTATTCAAGAACAAAGATATCAGTCTGAGGACTAAGGTGTGCATAACCCAAGCCATATATTTTCAATCACCTCCTGTGCATGTGAAAGTCGGACAATGAATAAGGAAGACCACAGAAGAACGGATGCATTTGGATTATACTGTTGGAAAAAAAATACTGAAAATACCATGGACAGCCAGAAGAACAAACCAATCTGTGTTGGAAGAAGTAAAGCCAGAATGCTCCTTAGAAGCCAGGATGATGAGGCTTTGTCTCTCATACTTCACACATATTGTCAGACAGGACCAGTGCCTAGAGAAGGACATTATGCTTGGTAAAGAGGACAGTCAGAAAAAATGAGGAAGACCCCAACGAGATGGATTGGCACCGTGGCAGCAGCAATAGATTCAAACATGACAATTGTGAGGATGGTAAAGAACCAGGCGGTGTTTCGTTCTGTTGGGCATAAGGTTGTTGAGTTGGGGTAGACTCGACCCACCTAACAAGAACAACAACCACAAAATCTTTAAATTTTTTCAAAAAGAAGTCTGTATAAAAGGTCCAAAGGCAGAGGGATAGACAGAATGAACACTGCAGATTCCAGGACACAGGCATGCTTGTCCCGTCCCAACCCCCCAATCACATCTTCCACAAGCTGAGAACATCAGACACCCATCCACACAACTCATCAGCCCAGCGGTGGGGATAAACCCTCCACAAACCCTCAGATTCATCCCCTGGGTGTGGATGCTCTTTTGTGTACAGACACATACATGTGGTCTCCTGTCCCATTCCTAGAGCCCCCTGCAGCTACCACCCCAGGCCCATTACCTCCCTGGAGCACTGTACCTTGGCCAGGGATCTTACTATAGGGCTTTCCATAATGCCGCGAAGAAAGATCAGGTCCAGCTCTGCAGCCCCCGTGGCATTAGGGAGGGATCCCAGGTTGTCCAAGACTTGCTGCATGGCTGAGGGAAAGGGGTAGGAAGTGAGACACACAGGTACCAAATGGGAAGAGCAGGCAGGGGCCCTAAACCTGACACATGCCCTGCTCCTGTCCCTTGTGCCAGCAGCAGACAGCTCCTCCCAGCAACACTTCTGTCTCAGGCCACACTAGGTAATGCCAGTCTGGGCAGGTCGGAGGCTCCAGGCAGCAGGAAGTGGACTCTGAGGTGAGGGAGGGGCATAGGGAAAGTAAGTGTCAGGTTCCAAGTTCTACCCAGAACCAGAGAATTACAAGCTCCTTGAACTACCACACCTGGAGGGGTTCAGAGATGGGAATGTGTCCCTGAGTGCAGGCCAAGCAGGAGTCACATGGGAAGTCAGTGCCCACAGTGTAACTTCGTACAAGTCACCATCCCTCACTGGCCTGTTTTTCCCTCCTATAAAATAGGTGGATGGGACTAGATGGCTTCCACTTCTAGACCCTTCAGCACTGATATTGATGATTGACCATTTAGAAATTAATGTGGGAGACTGGAAGCCCAAGCTGAGGCCAAGTACATTGGCAGGAACTGAAGAAACAGGCACTCTGGGACCAAGATGGGAGAAGGGGCTGCCTTCACACACTGGAAGGGGAGGCGGGGGGAAGGGGGCTCCAGGCTGGGGTAGGTTCCAGGGGAAGTTAGGGAGAAGCAAGTGTGCCCAGCTGGGGGCCAAGATGGGCAGGGGTATCATTACCCTGCCACCCTGCCACCCACACCCACATCTGCATAGCAGCACCCAAGTTATGGAGGAGGAGGGTGGGCATGGTCCTTAGCACCTCTCAACGTGCCTGTCACTGCTCCCCTCCTCCAGGAGGGCTGGGGAGGAGGGGCGTGGAACTGAACTGGCAGAGATGCTGCCGGGACTCTTGGACGCCCACCTGCTTCCCTCTCCTCTTCCCCACTTCTCCAGAAACAACGTTCAAACCCCGCCCCCCCCCCAGGCCCATCACCACCCTCAGGCCTGCTCTTGGCATTGGTCAGGGACGTGGGAGGCCCCTAGTGGGTTCTGAAGAAGGTCGGAAGGGAAATCGGTCCACTCTGCCAGGCCCACCCTCCCCAGTCATTTTCACACACAGACCCCCAGTCTGCGGGTCATGGGGGTTCACTGAGTCAGGAGAGCTGATTCCTTCTACCCAGGCCAGCTGTTCTGGCGGACCTTGCCTCATCCAGGTCCTTCAGTCTCCAGGGATGGCTCCTACTGCCGCCTCTCCAGATGCCCCAAACCCAGCATCCCCCCACCCAGCCTCCCCGCCCTGCTTTTTTCCTACCTTCCTTCCGGAGCTCCGCTTCCTCAGAGGAGCCCAAGGATATTCCCTCCAAGGAGGCCCCGCTGCCCGGGCTGCCCGCCATGGCTACTCCCCACATCCCAGACCCAGGTGCGTGGAGTGGCCGCCACCAAACTGCAGCCTGCCGCCTTCTCAGACAGAGGGGGCAACGCTGGAAAAGGAGGGACTCGGGGAGCCCTCCGCACAATTAGCCAATAGTAAGGCTCAGCCACTCTGCCCGCCTCGCTGATTGGCCAAAGCCCCTACTAGCGCTTCGCATCCTACGGGTGGGAGGGGGGCAGTGGAGGGGGCGGTAATAAAGAGTACTCACCCTACGAGCGGGGGACTAGACCCCATCGTTTTAGTACTAGTGGGGGTGGAGGAGGGTCTGAAAAAAGGGCTGAGGTAAGCATGGTATCCCTTTAGGCCTGGTGCGATGCCCAGAAACCCTCTCCAGATGCCGGAAACTCAACCTGGAGAAGAGATTTGGCCGCCCTGCCCTCCTAGTTTCTGGAAGTTCCTCATCTAGTCTACCCCCAAATCCCATCCTCCCTTTACTCTCTGTCCTCTGATCTCGGTCCCCTCTGTACGTCCTGGACCCTTTACAGTGCCATGGAGTGTCAAAGGCAGGACCAAAGGAAGCCGCTCAGTCTTTGGCCAGCAGACAGGTGCCTCGCTGTGGCATTAAGCAAATGCCTCTAGCCCCGGATCCCTCCCTTTACTGGCTAGCCAGCCTGCCAGGGGATGATGGTGCCATTGTGGGCAGAGAAGGGTGCCCTACGCCCCTCTTGCCCCACATCTCAGCCATCCAGTGCCCCCTTTCTCTGAACTCCTGTACCCATAAGGCTACCACTAGGGCAATGTTGCTATCACCAGCCAGTCATTCCCTAAGGAGTGGCACAAGGTTGCAATGCACCCCAGGTTGCCATGGCAGCAGGCTGTGATTACAACCAGGACATTAACCCACAGATGCGAGAATGATTTAAAGGGATAGCTCCACCTGAAGAAAGCATCCCGTCCCAGCCTTGGTTTAAAGAAAGGACAGTGACAGAGGAAAAGAGGCAAGGCTGCAGATAAGGAGATACCAGGGGCAAGATTTCTAAAAGCTCATCCCATGCCATAATCCACCTATCTCCCAGACCACAAACAGCCCTTAGGAAAAGGCCACTCCACGTACTCTAAGTCTCCCTGGAAGAATCAATCAAGAGCATGGATCACTACACCATTTCTCCCTCCCCCCACCCCAAATGACAATGACCAAATTGACCTTTGGGGAAAGGTAAACAAAGGACCTTGCTAGCTTCACCTTCTGCCTTCTCCATGGAGAAGGGAGATGGTGAGCCTGACCTCAGATAGGGAAGCACAGCTGTCCCTCCAGTAAGCCTGGGGGAAGTATGTTGTTAGGGGCAGTCCAGTTAGTTGGTTTCAACTTAGAATGACCCTATTATGTACAACAGAATGAAGTACTGCCTATGCCTGCAGCATCTTCACAACCATTGCTACATGTAAGCCCATTGTTGGCAGCCAGTGTGCTAAATGCTTCTCTTTGAGGGTCTTTCTGTTTTCCACTCGCCCTCTACTTTGCCAAGTACGATGTTCTTCTCTAGAGACTAGTCTATCCTGTTAAAATATTTGAGCAAAGTCTTGCAAGCCTTGCTTTTAAGGAACATTCTGGCTGTACCTCTTCCACATAGATTTGCTCATTCTTCTGGCTTCTTGTTGTTAAACCATAGAATCGATTCCAACTCATAGTGACCCTGTAGGGTTTCCAAGGAGCGGCTGGTGAGTTTGAACCACTGAACTTGGGGTTCAAACCAACCCTGTAGTCCAGTGCTTCATCCCACAGTGCCACAATATTTGCCAACACCATAATTCAAAGGCATTAATTCTTCTTTGCTCTTCTTATTTGTTGTCCAGCTTTCATATGCATATGAAGTGACTGAAAAGACGATGGTTTCGGATGGGCTAACCTTAGTCCTCAAACATCTTTGCTTTTTTGCACTTTAAGGAGTTTTTTGCAGTAGATTTGCCCAACACAATAAGTCATTTGATTTCTTGAATGCTGTTTTTGTGGACATTGATGGTGGAGCCAAGTAAAATGAAATCCTTGACAGCTTCAGTATTGTCTCTGTTTATCATGGTGTTGTTTATTGGTTCCATCATAAGAATTTTTGTTTTCTTTATGTTGAAGGGTAATCCATACAAAAGGCTATATGGCCTTTTATCTTCATCAGTAACTGCTTCCTGTCCTCTTCACTTTCAAGGTTGTGGCATCTGCATATCAAGTCATCAGTGAGTCTTCCTTCAATCCTGATGCCACATTCTTCTTCATATAGCCCAGTCTCAAATTATTTGTTCAGCATACAGAATGAACAAATATGATGAAAGGATACAACACTAACACAAACCTTTCCTGAGTTTAAACTACTGGAATTCCCATTATTCAAAATGTTATCCATAGTTTGTTATGATCTACATAGTTGAATGCCTTTGCGTAGTCAATAAAACACAGATAAACATCTTTCTGGTATTCTCTGCTTTCAGCCAAGATTCATCTAATATCAGCAAGGATATCCCTCATTCCACATCCTCTTCCGAATCCAGCTTGAAAGTTCTTTGTCATTGTACTACTACAAACAATTTTGTTGTGTGTGTGTTCAAATTATCTTCAGCAAAACTTCATTTGCAGATGATTTAATAATATTGTTCAATAATTTCCACATTTTGTTGGATCAACTTTCTTTGGAATGGACACAAATATCAATCTCATCCAGTTAGTTGGCCAGGTAACTGTCTTCTAGGTTGCTTGGCATAGATGAGTGAGCACTTTCAGCACCGCATCCATTAGTTGAAGCATCTCGGTTGGCATTCTGTCAACGCTTGCAGCCTTGTTTATCATCAATGCCTTCAATACAGCATGGACTTTTTTCTTCCTTTTGTAACCATTGGTTTTTGATCATGTGCTAGCTTCTGCAATTGCTGAATATCGACCAATTCTTTTTAGTACAGTTACTCTGTGTATTCCTTCCATCTTCCCTTAACGTTTCCTGTATCATTCAATATCCCACCCATAGAATTATTCAGTATTGTAACACAAAGCTTGAATTTTTTCTTCATTTCTTTCAGCTCAAGAAATGCTAAGAGTAATCTTCACTTCTGGTTTGCTAACTCCAGGTCTTTGCAAACAGCCACATCTTTCTCCTATGGAGCAAGCAACTGATGGGTTTGAACTGCTGACCTTTTAGTTAGCAGTCAAACTACTTTAACAATGGCACCACCAGGGTTTCTTGTATACCCCAGTAGGCACCATTAATGGGCTTAGGTTTGAGGAGCCTCTAATCACAGGCTGAAGGATTAATTTAATTAACCTTTAAGCAGCTTACAGTGGGGCCCAGGCAGACTAACATGGGGGCAAGCCCAGGAGGCCCAGTGGACTAGACAGGAGGTGGAGGTATGGAGTCCTCCAAGACTGCAAAAGCCAGGAGACATGGGTACAGTCCCTGCAATGCATAGAGGAGAGGCCTTTTCTGGGGGGCAAGAGTGTCACCCTCAGCTGCTTTCACTTTCCTAGTTCTGTTTCTCAGAAACTGTCATTCTAAGTAACATGGGGACCCTGGAACATCTTTCAAGGGCCCAGCTTCAGGGGAGTGAGACACTGAGGCAAAGGGAATTCAGATAAATCAAAACAAAACCCTAGAAGGTTATACTGACAGGGTCCTTAGAGAGTCTCCAGCTCAGGGGGCTGAACCTGAGTGGGTCCCCAAAAGCACTGAAAGGGGTCCATGAACCCCTGGAAGTAGAATGCAGATTTTGTGCCCAGAGTCACTTGTCTCTGAGGAGGGTCCATTGCTATTCTCTGATTCTCAGAGATTCTGGACCACTGAAAGGGAAACTCTTATCCCATCACCTCATCTTACAAATGGGAACTGACTGACTCAGGGTCTCAGATGGCATAACAGTAATTTGGTGGCAGAAGCAACATGATCATTAGGAATACTCCTAAACAGTGTGCTGTATACCCTTTGCGTCTCAAATCATCCTGTGTACGTTTCTATCCCTCCTTGCTTTATCTGGCTAGTCTAAAACCTCCTATAGACCCATTCTAAGCTTCCTAGTGATACTTTTGCCCCTCCACACACAACTTCCTGCTCCTACATCCCCTTCCCAGCTCCTTGGTTCTGGCTCCCACCTCCAGCACTTACTGGTCTACTCCACGCTCTTGGGCACTGTCCTGTGGACTTCTTAGCCCTAGCTCTGCCGCTATAGTCCCTCCATTGCAGGCCATCCTAGTACCCAAGGCCTAGTACCCAGGCCACCTCCTGAGCAGCTTGGCCCCATGCCACTTTTTGGCCCCATGCCACTGCCCTCCAGCAATATTGTGGACTACCCTGCCCTCCTCAGAAATCAACCCCACCTTGGGACAGGTACAAATCTTATTTCTCTTCCTCCTCTCCCGTGTTCCAGCACAGGCCCCTCACACAGAGGAGACACCTTAAAGTCTGCCCAAATGAAGGACTGAATGGTGGAGCAGTGAGGGGTGGGAGCTGTTTGTTTGAACATTTTGTTTTGGTTTGGGCGAAAGGTTACAGAGCAAATTAGTTTCTTATCCAACAATTTATACAGTTTTTTCCTGACATTATTTGTTATCACCTCAATTTAGCAACAGTCTTCCCACAACCTTCTTGTGTTCCCTATTTCCATTCACCTATCTTCCCTGCCCTTTCCTGCCTTCAGAACTTTGTTTTTAGGCAAATGCTTTCCTTTTGGTCTGGTCTGGTTGATGGCTCAGAGAAGCATGTTCTTTATGTGTGTTGTTCACTTTATCAGCCTATCTACTATTTGCTTGAAGGGTGACCCTCCAGAGTGGGCTTAGTTCCAGGTTTGAAGGGTGTCTAAGGGTCCTAGTCTTTGCAGTTCCACCAGCCTCTTTCAGACTAGTAAATCTGGTCTTTTTATGATTTTGAATTTTGTTCTATATTTTCCTCCTACTCTATCTAGGATCTTCTATGGTGATCCCAAGCAGGACAGTCACTGGTGGTAGCCAGGCACCATTTCGTGCTTCTAGCCCTGGCTTGTGGAGGCTGTGCCTTGACTGGTCCATTAATGTTTGGATTCATTGCTTCCTGAGTCTTTCCTTTTCTTGACTCATCTTTGCTCCAAACAGGAAGAAATCCGTTGTCAGCCTCTTCAATGGCTGTTCACAAGCTTTTAAGTCACTATTCACCAGAGTAGGATGCAGAACATTATCTTTATGGCCTATGCCAACTGACCTAGATGCCAACTGACCCATGGGCCTAAGGGGCTGTTTGTTCTTGTAGGGAACAGTGCCTGCCTGCTGCTTTCCACCCCCAAGTCCTTGCCTTGCACCCTCTGAACCACTGGAATAAGCTGGCATGCTCATCCTCTTCTTACCAGACTCAGAGTTGGTGGCAGCGACCGGCATGGTGACTTCAGCACGGGCTTTGAAATGCCTCTCCTGGAGGAGGAAAAAAAAGCAGGTAAAGAGGGGCAAAAACAAAGCAAGGGGGAAAGACTAGTAAGGATTCCCCATCTGGGCAGTGAGAGAAAAGGGTTGTTGTTGTTGTTAAGTGCCATCGAGTCGATTCCGACACATAGTGACCCTGTATAGGGTTTCCGAGGAGCAGTTGGTGAGCTTGAACCACCAACCTTACAGTTCAAACTGACTTTGCAGTCTGATGCATTAGCCCACAGCACCACACCAGGATTCAGGGTGCTACCCAGAAATTGGGGTTAGAAAACAAACATCCAACAGTCCTGAGCTGCAGGAAGGACAGATATATATATATCTGATATATAGATATAGATATATATAGATATATAAAGATATATTATATATATATATATATATATATATACACACCCATTGCTCAGAAGCAAAGATTGAGGATCAGAGAAGTTAATTGACTGCCCAAAATGCTGATCTTATGACTCATTATTTTTTATTATTTGTGTTCCTTGTCTCTCACTCAACCCCCTGTCTTTCCCTCTGGAGGAAAAGGGGCCAGAATTTCTGTCAAAAGCAGGAAAGACAGTGTCCCCAGACAGTAAACTCCCTGAGAGCAAGAATTGCATCTGTTTTATTCATTCACCTCTGGATCAGATCAGGCCAGTGTTGACACTGCACTGACAGAAATGTCTGACAGACAGAAATAATGTCCTTCTTCCAGGCCTCTCTGGCTCCCTCTAACCCCTCTCCCAGTTTTAGCCCAGAGCTGGGGTCTCCAGGCAGAACCAGGCATGGAGTCTGCAAGGCCATTTCCCAGCCCCAGTTCCCTGGTTCATGTCCCGTTTTGTTGGGCCTTCCCCCAACTGAGGTTGCTCCTCCATTCACATGGGAGTGGAAAGGTGGGGGGCGGGTACCACCCACCCTCCTGAGCCTTTCTGAGATTGTGCTGTGGATAAAATCCTAATTCCCAGTTGTCATGACAACAGGAAGCAGTGGCTCATAGCAAGGGTTGGAGAGTGGAGAGAGGCAGAGAAACAGAAGCAGCAGGCAGTGCCCACTTTAGTAAGACTGAATGCCTGCTGTGGGGCCCTGGGAATGGGGAACCCAGACTTCACCTCCTCAAAAAAAGAAAGAAAGAATAGATCACAATCTGACACCCATAAAACCCTCTCTGCTCCAGGTCCCATCCCAGGCCTGTGCTAGCCACATTTTTTTATTTTTTGACAAAAAGGGGAATGGCTCTCTTTCCTCCTAGCTTTGCCCCTGAGCAACTGGAAGAAAACTGCTTTACGGAAGAGGAAGGACACCTGAGTCAAGCTAACACCCATGCTGGGAGAAAGGCCCAGGATCCGCAGTGACAGTGCCAGCCCGTGTCCCTCTTCCTAGAGAGTAAGCGGGGAGGGATCTGACCGAGGTACCAGCAGGGTCTAGGGGGCCTCCAGATGCCCTCCTTTCCTAGAGGATGGAGGGTGGAAAGATACTGTATGTGCCCAGAAGCGGTGCCCAGCCTGCCTGGGTTTTTCCCTGCGGAATCGTTCCCACGGCATCAGCACACTCTGCTCCACCCCCACCCAAGTGCCCGAGAGGGCGGGGCCAGGCTGTGCCCTCAGGAGAACGCAGTACCAGGCAAGTCAGCCTGGATCCGTGCCAAGACCTGGGCCAAGCGTATTGGGAATCCGCACCTCGACTCCGAAAGCCTGGGCCCAGGTGCCCTTTCATCCCTACTTCCAAGCTGTAGACATCATCCAGACTGCTGAGCGGCTAAGCGGTCCAGCCCTTTAGCTGGAGGTTTCCGGAAACCTCCCACCCACCCCTTCTTCAATACGCACACAAAGAGGTTCGGAAAAGAAAGGTATGGCAAAGTGTTTTGAGAATCATAAGCAGGTGGGAGGGCTTGACAAAATGGAGGGACATAAGGACAGGGACTGGAAAGCTCCGCCAGTGGGCACAGACCGACAATCTGCTCGCCCCCGTCGCTCTAACCCAGCCCAGCCCTAACACGCTCGGCGCTAGGACCTAGAGGAAAGGGGGGCGTGTTGCAAACCATCAAAGAAGGCTCTCCGCTTGCGCGCCGGCAGAGACTAGGGGGATGAGGTCACTGAATGACTGCCCCCCAACCCTCAGCCTCCTACCATTAGTTAACTCAACTTTCCAATCCTGATCCCTCGCTCTGGCACCCATCCCCTCGCAGATCCCCAGGTCTTAAAGAAAGCCCCTGACCTCGACCCACCCCTACAGCCAGGAAGGCTAGAGAAGCAAGGCACCCCCTTCATGGGACACCCACCCAGGGAAGGTTGAGGTCCTGGTCCCCAGGGACCAGGACGCCAGGAGGACTCGGTGGAACCTCTGCCCCTCGCCCCCTCCGGAAGCGCTACCAGCACGGTTCTTACGTAATGCCGGGCTCCGAAGTCCCCAAATCCGCACAGCCCCCAGAGAGGCCGCACGAATCCCCCGGCCCGCACCGTTCACCACCTCGGTGCTCTGTGTCACTTTGGAGTCCTCGCCGCCGGGGCGAGGGCCAGCGTCAAAGGCAGCAGCGTTTGATCTCCCCCTCCAGCACCCTAGAAAAAGGACCGGAGATGGGGGTTCGAGAGAGGGGACAGGCCTGAGAAGGGGACTCGGGGAGGCTGGAACCAAAGAATAGGCCCGCAAAAGCAGTGTCAGACTGAAAAGGAGGCGGGGTCCCCGGAGTAGGATGCTGGCCCAGAGGCCGAGGGGCGCCTACCTGCGCCCCGGGGAACCCCTAGCTCCGGGCGGCTTCAGCGCAGCCTGGCGCTCCGGGTTTATTCACTTGTCAAACGCTAATCCAGCTCTTAAAGCGGCGAGGCTTGCTCTGAGCGAGGGGGCGGAGACGGCGGGGGGGGGGGGGGGGGGGGGGAGAGGGACGCCGCGGGCCACCAGGAAAGAAGCAATCCTTCAGAACAGATGGTGGCCGGAGGGGACGTGGTTGTTCAGATGACACCGCACTACCTGCGACACCCCCTGCTCGCTTTCCACTTGGGGAGGCACGGACTGGGCTGTTACCCACTAGTGTCCCCCGGTGCCCAGGGATCCTTTAAAAGGGCAATGGTGGCCGCGCTGAGTGGGGCCGGATCGATTACTCCGCGCCTCCGCTCGATTTAGACCCACCGTCTTGTTCTTGGCGAGTCTCAATTTCCTCTTTATCCCGCTTACCAATTGGGAAAGGGAACAGGGGGACTTCAGAGGGTCTTCCAAAGATCGGACACCCTTAGGGCCTCGGGATCTAGAACAGTTTTTAAGGACTCAGGTGGGTATCTGGGACCGGTATACTCAAGGAAAAGGGAAACATCTTCGCAAAGGGATATGAGGTCCTATTTTAGGCCTGAACAAAGGTGCTGGTTCGTGCTCCTACCTACAGAATACAGAAAACGTAACTGGCTATCCTTTCTCAAAATCCCATCTCAGAGCGTAAATAAAGGGTTAAACTCACTTACCCACCTTCGCCCCGCCTCCAACTGGACGCTTCGGAGTGTGGAGGGCTACATACCGAGTTCAGGGCTACTCTAGGTCCGACTTCGAGCCCTCGCGTCCATCCGTTCCCGGTACAGAGATTATCCATCCGGTAATTTGGCCCGTAACATCAGAAATGGATCGCATCTTGGAAACACGTTTGGAAATCTCAGAATGGGTTTAACATGGGAATTCATCTGAAAGCAGAATAGTAGTCCTCGAGTTCCGCAAGATTCAGCTGGACCCTAAACTCCTAAGCATAGGTTTGGTGGTTGGGAAAAGGGAAAAGCCCTTGAGCCGGACCTAACTCTGCTGAAAGCCAGTATGTTTAAGCGCCTTTCACTTTTAATGAGCAAGTGGGGAAAATGTTACTTAGCGACTCCACTTGATGGGAGCTAGAAATGCAGGTTTCAGTTTCCCCACCCAAGAAGCTTTCTGTAGAACATAGTTTATAATCTTCTGCCTATTCAAGCCAGAAGACTCTCCCGATCCAACCCGAGACAAGTGGCACTCCATGCTCAACTGACTGAGCAGAAAGTGGAAGGATCTTGAATCTCTCTAAAAAATTAGTAAATAGCGTAGTGGTTACGAATCGGGCTGCGAACCTCAGGGTCAGCAGTTCGAAACTACCAGCTGTTCCGCGGGAGAAAGATGAGGCTTTCTGCTCCCGTAAAGATTTACAGCACAAAATCACCACCTCCACCACCCCCAATCTGGCCATTATTACCCCATAGCAACTCAGAGCCAACCTTCCATCCACTCCGGATCCCCAGGAGAAGGTGAAATCACAGATTCTAGATCATCAGGGGACATGAAGTCCAATTCCTGATTTTTCCGGGGCACTTCCTCCCCCTACCCCACTAGTCAGCCATCAAAAATCTCTCTGATAAGGATTCTGCAGAATGACAGCCCTGCTGTATAACTGATGAACTATTAGATTTTCATAACGACCCTGTGATATTACATACTTGAGGAGAAACATTTATTGAATTCCAATAAATGTTCTAAGGAGCCCTAGTTGCTCGAGGAATAAGTGCCCGGTTGTTCAAATCCAAGGGAGAAAAATGTGGCCGGCTGACTTGCAATTGCTATGGGGCAGTTCTGCTCTGTGCTATGGATGTGTTTTTGTTTTGTTAATTCTGCTCCAGACATTGTGCCAGCTTCAATGATACCAAGATAGTAAGATAGTCAGATGTTGTTGTTGGGTGCCATCGAGTTGGTAACGACCCATAGGGACCTTATGCACAGCAGATGTTGTTAAGTGCCGTGGAGTTGGTTCCAACCTATAGCGACCCTGTACAGGGTTTACAAGGCTGTAAATCTTTACAGGAGCAGAAAGCCTCATCGGTCTCCCACGGAGCAGCTAGTAGTTTCGAACTGCTGACCTTGAGGTTCGCAGCCCGATTCGTACCCACTAAGCTACCAGAGCTCTTTATGCACAGGCAGAGAAGGGTCCTGATATCTTGGAGTTCATAGTCTGGGGAGGAGGGGGGACTGGGATAGTGGAGACAAAAGCACTTTCTCTATGTTGATATAGAATGTCAGAAAGAGGTGCAGTAAATATTTTATGCTGGGACCCTCAAAGAATGGTAGTGTTTCTGGTGGGGAATGCCATAGTTAGGAAGGGAAGCAGGTTTGAGAGCGTCTACAGTGGCGTCCTAAGGAGCTCTGGTAGCGTAGTGGTTACGAATCGGGCTGCGAACCTTAAGGTCAGCGGTTCGAAACTACCAGCCGCTCCGCGGGAGAAAGATGAGGCTTTCTACTCCCGTAAGGATTTACACCCTTGGAAACCCTGTACAGGGTCGCTATGGGTCGGAACCGACTCGATGGCACTTAACAACAACAACAACAACAACAGTGGCGTCCTGGTGTGGCGCTGTGGGTTAATGAGCCAGACTGCAAAGACCTTTCAACTGCAAGGTCAGCGGTTTAAGCTCACCAGGCTCCTCGGAAAGCCTATACAGGGTGGTTATGGGTCGGAACCGACTCACGGCACTTAACAACAACAGTGTATCTCATGGCAGTTAGGGTTAACCCCCCACTTAGGTAAGAATGAATCCTCCCTCTCTGGGATCTGTAATATCTCTGTCTCCCTCCCTGCCTCTGCCCCAGAGGTCACAAAGATGCAGCCTAAAATTAAGGCTTTCTTCTGGTGGATGCTCAGCCTAGAGGTCTGGGAATCAAGGCCTTGTTAAGTTGTTGTTAAGTGCCAACGTCTTTGCCGTCTGGCGCATTAACCCACAGCGCCACAAGAGAAGTAAAACTCCAGAGTATACGTTTTCTCATTCCAGCCTATCCTGCTCTTTGAATGATGTTGCACTTCAGATAATGGCCAGCAGGGGACGCCAACAGCTATCCTGAATCTTTTCACACCTATCATCTCTTGCACAGCTTTGTTCTGAAAACCTTTTCTATCAGTTACAGAATAGAACTGAGCTCCACAGGATATTCTACACTGTAATCTTCACAGAAGTAAATCACCAGGACTTTTTTTTAATCGTGAATTGGATGTAGCTTTACAGTTATTTTCTATTCATCAACTCATACACGTTATGCTTCATCTCACTCATTGCAATCCCCACATTGTAATATCACTTATCCCACTTCCTCTCAGTGTTTCCTGTTTCCATTCCTCCTTTGTTTCCTAGCCCTTCTGAATTTTGTCCTTGGGTAACCACTGTCCTTTTAATCTCTAAGGTGTGTACACCTCACTAGTGTTATAACTCCCCTTAAAGACCCCCCTATTGTTCAGCTGAAAATTGAGCTATGGGGGTGAGCTCATTTCCAGACCTGAAGAGTGACTAAGTGCCATAGTCTCTCTCCTACCAGTAACTCTAGTCCTTTGTTATGATTCTGAGTTTCATTCCACAGTTTTCTCCCATTCTTCTCAGGACCTTCTAATGTGATCCCTTTCAGAGCAGCTGGTACTAGCAGGGTACCATCCAGTTCTTCTGGTCTCAGAGTCACGGAGACTGATGTTCTTCAAGGCCCGCTGATCCATGGAACTGTTGATTTCATGCCTCTTCAGTTTTCATCAGTTTTTCCTCTGGACAGGAAAGACCAACAGATGCACTTTAGATGGCTCTCACAAGTTTTGAAGACTCTAGTGACCGTTCACCAAAGTAGGATGGAAAACAATGTCTTTATGGATTTTTATCAATTGACGTATTCCCTTACACTATGGTCCTGAGACCCAGGCCTAGTGACTGATTCTCTCACTGTATTTGGTAAAGTCTAATACATTTTCATAACTTTACCCTCATATCTTCCTCCATACTCCTGGATATATTTGCACCAAAGATAATCAAACCAAAACCTCTCAGGTACTGACCCTTTGTTCCCCTTGAAACCTGAAGGCAGAGCCTGAGACCCACCTCCCCACCACTGCCACACACCAGCCTGCCCTGCACCCACGTCAGAATGCTTATGTGCAGGAAAGAGACCCAGAACATCCCTGTAGCAGCCTCTTCTTTCTCCTTCCCCATGCCCTCCTGGCCCAGCACTCACAATTCACCCTGCCTCCTTGCATCACTTGTCACAACCCCGGGAATGGGAAGTTCTGGAGCTACACAATTCTGGTTGAATTCCTGGCTTACTTGAATGCCTGTCCTTTGGGGGGTTCTGTAACCTCTCTGAGCCTCAACTTCCTTGTCTGCACAATGAAATGACAACCTCCACTTTGGGGAGGCTTGAGAGCAAAGGCAGATGTAGAGTGGCTGCCACAGTGCCAGGCACATAGAAGATGTCCTGTAAATGTGGAACCAGGTCTAGACAGGTGCTGAGGAGGTGCCAGCTCATCAGTGGGTGGTTAGCCCCTCTATCTGCTGTCTGACGTGCCCATGACTGGCCTCAGATCCCCCAGGGCTTCAGGGTCCCAAGTATCTGGTACAGACAGCATGTCCCTTCCCACTGCCCACACACCCATTAGTGGCCCTTTGCCTAGACCCATCTGTACCACCCACTTCTCTTTTCTTCCTTCCCTTCCAATGCCCCCAACAATATGCCAAGGGTTTTGATGTGAGCACCATGTGAGGGGGCAGGAACAGGCAGCCCATCACCTGAGTGGAGGGGCTGGTTGTGCTGGATGGGCCATAAGGGATGGTGGGGAAGGCCTCAGGGACAGAGCTGATGAGTGGGAAGAGCTTGCAAAAGCCAGCGCAGACCCTGGGAGGGGAAGGAGGTCCTCCTTTGTTGTTGGTAAGCACCCTCAAGTCAATTCCGACTCATAGTAACCTTGTCTGTTGTTGTTATGTGCCGTGGAGTCATTTCCGACTCATAGCGACCCTGTACAGGGTTTCCTAGGCTTTACGGGAGCAG